CGTAACATCTTTGCATCAAGATCTCACAGAATTCCACCTCGTTGCCACCGCCGATACAAGAAAACCGACCTCTCCTGCCCACTCACCCCCCACGTCCATTCTTTTTTTTTTTTTTACCTCCAACTTGAATCAACATCATCGTCACGGCAAATGCAGCAACACTGCAACCGCATCACCCCCCCTCCCCAGGGCCAAACACATATCACCTTCTCCTTCTCCCGTCTCTAATAGCAATCTCAATTATCCTACCGACCATTCTCACCACCTTTATATACGCGCGCGTGCGCTGTACCCACCGGATCCCCCAACTGACGCGCGTGCGTAGTAAACAAAAACCAGGACGCCATTCCCCCGATTTTCACTCCCGTTCCTACCCGATAGCTTTTCTACCGATTTCCCTACCGCCTCACACTTCTTTTTTTTTTCTCCCGCTCTCAGAAACCCCACCCTTGGTCCTGTTTATCCTTTTCGTTCCTTTCCTTTCCTTTCCTTCCAGCCAGCAATACCGCAAGCGAAGAGAGGGACTGCATCCCCCCCTCCATCTTGTTTCTTGGCAGCAAAATGTAATAACAAGTCAATATCGAGTGAATCAAATTGGCCGCGATATTTGCTCGAGTTCTATTAGAGCAGATTAGAAATCTTCAAACTGTGGTCAGTAAAGATCATTCCCGGAGAATGGCGGTTCTAATTCCCTGTAAATTAGGCCTCAATGTGAGTTGCTGGCCAGAACGCAGTCCTTATTCGGTTGTATTAAGACGGATCAACTTGTGTCATTAGTTTACACCGAAGACATAAGCCCGTTGTAATTAAGTACATCTTTGGCGGTTAGAGATAACCAAATGGCAAAGCAATTCGATGAGAAAGAAAGAAATGATTAGATATATAAAGAAAGAAAGAACGAAAAAAAGAAAAAGAAAGAAAGAAAGAAAGAAAAGGTTATATTTAGAGAAAGAGGGAGATGGTTAGTAAAAAGAAAGAAAGAAAACGTATTGAATGGAGAAGTGAAAAAAAGGTGGCAGTAAAGGAGAGTAAGAAGGTGGGCGTAGGGGATTCGGAGAGTGTAGTGAGAAAGAAAGAAAGAAAGAAAGAAAGAAAGAAAGAAAGAAAGAAAGGAATCAATTGATGAGGTGCGGGTGAATGAGTGAAATGACTACAAGGAAGTAAGAACGAAAGAATAAAAATAAGAAAGAAAAAAGGTAGAAAGAAAGTAATTAAAGAAAAAAACCCCAGAAAAATGAAAGTAAGAATGAACGAAAATTAGAATAAAAAGAAAGAGGAGGAGGAGAAAAACAAAAAGGAACAAAGAAATGATTAGATGTAGAAAAAGTCAGAGAGCGAGCTGGTTAGAGAAAGCGAAATGAGAAAAAGTAAAAGAAACGTATGGTAAAAGGGGAAAACAGATGGAAAGGAGAGTAAGGAGGCTTAGAGAACGAAGATTTGGAGAGTGCTGTGAGAAGAGAAGAGAAGAGAAGGAAGGAAGGAAGGAAGGAAGGAAGGAAGGAAGGAAGGAGGAAGGAAGGAAAGGAAGGAAGGAAGGAAGGAAGGAAGGAAGGAAGGAATCAATTGGTCGGGTGCGGATGAATGAGTAAATTAGGGCGAGTAAGCGAGAAAAGAAGAATAAAAATAAGAAGGAAAATAAGGAAGGAAATAATCTAAAGAATGAAATTAGGGAAAAAAAGACAGAAAAGACTCAAGAAAAAAGAACGAACACAAGAATAAAATGAAAGGTGAGGAGAAAAAGAAAGAAAGAAAGAAAAATGTTAGCAAGCAAAGAAAGAGAGAAATGTCGGCATGCAATATAAGAAAGAAAAAAAGAAAGAAAGAAACTGTGACGAAAAGAGAAATGGGGAAAAAAAAGAGTAAGGAGGTAGGGAGTAAGGAGATTTGGAGAGTGCAGTGAGGAAGGAGAGCGGAAAGGAAGGAATCAGTTGGTCGTGATTGGGTGAATTGTGTGCATGAGTGCAACAAAGCAAAATGGGGGAAAAAAAGAAAAAAGGTGGGAAAAAAGAAAAAGAAAGGAATAAGAGCAAAAAAGCAAGAAAAACGATAGAAAAAGGGAACTAATGCAAGAATAAAAAAAGAAGAAAGAGAGAGAGAGAAGGAAATAGAGAGGAGAAAAGAGAGAGAGGGAAAGAGAGAGTGAGGAAAGAAGACAGGAGAGAGAAGCAGAGAGTGAGAGAGGAAGTGAGCAAGAGAGATGAAGGAAGGAGGTCAAGAAAGAAAGCTAAAATGAAAGACAGGATCAAGAAGAATAAAGAAAATCAAAGCAAGAAAAAGAGTCGGAAACAATGAAGGAAAAAAAAATCAAGGTTTCCATGAACAAAAATGAAAAGTAAAAAGTAAAGAAAAAAAAAATAAATAGAGGAATGTAATTTGACTGCCAGATGTGAAAGGGGTTAAACAGATACAAAAGACTTTGGATAAAAGATAAAAAAAAAACGAAAACGAATAGCGGGAAAGAAAGTAAAAGAGGGAAAAGGAAAAAATGTAAAAAAGGAAGAAAGAAAGAAAGAAAGAGAAAGTGGGGAAGGAAGACAAAAGAAAAAACGACAAAAATAGAATAAATAAAAAGTAAGAATAAAGAAAGTGAAATATCCAACGACAAAGGAGAAAAAAGTATGACAAGTTTGAAGGAAGGAGAGAAAGACAGGAGAGAAATAAAGAGGGAAGGGGAGAAAGCGAGAAGAGAATTAAAGAAAGAAGGAGAGAAAGAGACAAAAGAAATAAAGAAGGAAAGAGAGAAGAGAAATAAAGAAGGAAGGAGAGAAAGAGAGAAGGGAAATAAAGAAAGAAGGAGGGAAAAGAAAGGAGAGAAAAAAGAAAGAAGGAGAGAAGAGAAATAAAGAAGGAAGGAGAGAAAGAGAGAAAAGAATTAAAGAAGGAAAGAGAGAAGAGAAATAAAGAAAGAAGGTGAGAAAGAGAGAAGAGAAATAAAGAAAGAAGGAGAGAAAGACCAAAGAGAAATAATGAAGGAAGGAGAGAAAGAGAGAAGAGAAATAACGAAGGAAGGAGAGAAAGTGAGAAGAGAAAGAAAGAAAGAAAGAAAGAAAGAAAGAAGGAGAGAAAGAGAGAAGAGAAATAAAGAAGGAAGGAGGGAAAGAGTGAAGAGAAATAAAGAAGGAATGAGAGAAAGTGAGAAGAGAAAGAAAGAAAGAAGGAATGAGAGAAAGAGTGAAGAGAAATAAAGAAAGAAGGAGAGAAAGTGAAATGAGAAATAAGAAAAGAAGGAGAGAAAGAGAGAAAAGAAATAAAGAAGGAAGGAGGGAATGAGAAAAAAAAGAAGGTGAGAAAGAGAGAAGAGAAATAAAGAAGGAAGGAGAGAGAGAGAGAGAGAAGAGAAGTAAAGAAGGAATGAGAGAAAGAGAGAATAGAAATAAAGAAGGAAGGAGAGAAAGAGAGAAAAGAATTAAAGAAAGAAGGAGAGAAAGAGACAAAAGAAATAAAGTAGGAAAGAGAGAAGAAAATAAAGAAAGAAGGTGAGAAAGAGAGAAGAGAAATAAAGAAAGAAGGAGAGAAAGAGAGAAGAGAAAGAAAGAACGAAAGAAAGAAAGAAAGAAAGAAAGAAGGAGAGAAAGAGAGAAGAAAAATAAAGAAGGAAGAAGGGAAAGAGTGAAGAGAAATAAAGAAGGAAGGAGAGAAAGTGAGAAGAGAAAGAAAGAAAGAAAGAAGGAGAGAAAGAGAGAAGAGAAATAAAGAAGGAAGGAGGGAAAGAGAAAAAAAGAAGGTGAGAATGAGAGAAGAGAAATAAAGAAGGAAGTAGGGAAAGAGTGAAGAGAAATAAAGAAGGAAGGAGAGAAAGAGAGAAAAGAAATAAAGAAGTAATGAGAGAAGAGAAATAAAGGAGGGAGGAAAGAGAGAAGAGAAATAAGGAAAGAAGGTGAGAAAGAGAGAAGAGAAATAAAGAAAGAAGGAGAGAAAGAGAGAAGAGAAAGAAAGAACGAAAGAAAGAAAGAAAGAAAGAAAGAAGGAGAGAAAGAGAGAAGAAAAATAAAGAAGGAGAAAAAGAGAGAAAAGAAATAAAGAAGGAAGGAGAGAAAGAGATAAGAGAAATTAAGAAAGAAGGTGAGAAGGAGAGAAGAGAAAGAAAGAAAGAAGGAGAGAAAGAGAGAAGAGAAATAAAGAAAGAAGGAGAGAAAGAGTGAAGAGAAATAAAGAAGAAAGGAGGGAAAGTGAGAAGAGAAAGAAAGAAGGAATGAGAGAAAGACCAAAGAGAAATAAAGAAGGAAGGAGGGAAAGAGTGAAGAGAAATAAAGAAGGACGGAGGGAAAGAGAGAAGAGAAATAAAGAAAGAAGGAGAGAAAGAGAGAAGAGAAATAAAGAAGGAAGGAGGGAAATAGTGAAGAGAAATAAAGGAGGAAGTAGAGAAAGAGAGAAGAGAAATAAAGAAAGGAGGAGTGAAAGAGAGAAGAGAAATAAAGAAGGAAGGAGGGAAAGAGAGAAGAGAAATAAAGAAAGAAGGAGTGAAAGACGAAAGAGAAATAAAGAAGGAAGTTGAGAAAGAGAGAAGAGAAGTAAAGAAGGAATGAGAGAAAGAGAGAATAGAAATAAAGAAGGAAGGAGAGAAAGAGAGAAGACAAATAAAGAAGGTAAGAGAGGTAGAGGAAGACAAATAAAGATGGAAAGAGATAAAAGGAGAAGAGAAATAAAGAAGGAAGGAGAGAAAGGGATAAAAATAAAAAGAAAAAAATCAAAATAAAAAGAAGAAAAAAGGAGGATAAAAACCAAAAACGAAAAATTGTAAGGACAGAGAAATTAAGCAAATTAAAAACAAAGTACGAAAGAAAGAAAGAAAGAAAGAAAGAAAGAAAGAAAAAAAAAGAAAAGAATATGAATATAGGATAAAGAAAGACAGGAAAGGAAAAGAAACAGTCAAAAGAAAGGAAGGATGGGAAAAAAGAAAGAAAGAAAGAAAGAAAGAAAGGAAGAAAGAAAGAAAGAAAAAAAGAAAAGAAAAGAGTATGAATATAGGATAAAGAAAGACAGGAAAGGAAAAGAAACAGTCAAAAGAAAGGAAAGATGGGAAAAAAGAAAGAAAGAAAGAAAGGAAGAAAGAAAGAAAGAAAGAAAGAAAGAAAGAAAGAAAAAAAAGAAAAGAGTATGAATATAGGATAAAGAAAGACAGGAAAGGAAAAGAAACAGTCAAAAGAAAGGAAGGATGGGAAAAAAGAAAGAAAGAATGAAAGAAAGAAAAGAAAATAATGAGTAACCGAGCTAGCAATTCGACGGTGTAAAGAAAGAAAGAAAGAAAGAAAGAAAGAAAGAAAGAAAGAACGGAAATAACTATGAAAGAATCAAAAAAGAAAATCCATAAAAGATAGGTAAAAAGAAGAGAAAGAAAGAAGATAAATTAAAAATAAGATTAAGATTTCTTTCATTTTTTTCATTCCTTGCTTCATTTTTTTTTCATTAAAATAAAGTTATAAAAAATAAACAACAAAAGAAAAGAAAAAGAAAAAAGAAATGAGAAAGATAAAGGCGGTAAGAAAGAACAAAGCAAAGAATAGAAGAAAGAAAAGTAGAGAAAAATAAGAAAGAAATAATAAAGAAATGAAAAAGAAAAGAAAAAAGAAAGAAAAAAAATGAGGGAAAGACTGGAAACGGCAATAAAAAAATGAAAACAACAAAGAAAAAGTTTGCGAAACAAAAAGTAAAAAGAAATGAAGTAAATTGAAGAAAAAAAGAAGAAAAAAAAGAAAGTCAAAATGAAAGGATAATCGAGAAAGGATAGATAGATAGATAGATAGATAGATAGACAGATAGATAGATAGATAGACAGATAGATAGATAGATATTGAACAGACATAGATATATAGACAGACATACACAAATAGACAGACAGACAGACAGACAGAAAGAAAGAAAGAAAGAAAGAAAGAAAGAGGTAAAACTGATAGAAAGGAAAAGGAAATAAAGTGAGACGGAAAGAAAAGAAAGTAAAAGACAGGAACAGAGAAAAAAAGAAAGGAAGGTAAGAAAGAAGGAAAGACGGAAGGAAAGAAGGAATGAAAGAAAAACAAAGTAAAGTGCGAAAGAAGAAAAAAAGGAAAGAGAGAGAGAGAGAGAGAGAGAGAGAGAGAGAGAGAGAGAGAGAGAGAGAGAAAAATTCAACCATAGGGCAATGATTGACAGAAAGTTGTCAAAAAAGATCCGAGTTTTCAGGTAACCTTCAGCATGTAAGGCCTTCGAAGGAAGGGATGAAGGAAAAGACAAAGAATCGGGGGTGGGGGAGGGTGAGAAGGCCTGATTGTCAAGGACACAGATTTACTGATTTGAATAAACCAAAGTGGTATGGGAAGTGAAACTCATGAGGTGAAAAATGTGAAAAAAAGACGCTTACAAGATTGATAGCGGGGAAAAGGAGTAGAAGAGAGACGGAGAAAGAAAGAATAGAAAGGGACAGAAATGTAGGGGAGAGAGAGAGAGAGAGAGAGAGAGAGAGTGAGAGTGAGAGGGAATGAGAGAGAGAGAGAGAGAAAGAGAGAGAGAGATGTAAAAGAAAGAGAGAGAGAGATGAGAAAATGAAATAAAAAGATATATAAAAAAATGAATAGAGAAGAGAGAAATGAAAGAGGTGATGCGTTTATTGAAAGGACGAAGTCGGCTGTAAGAAAAGTTGATATCGAAATAATCAAAGTGTGATAGATATATATAAAAAGAATGAGATAGAGAGACAGGGAGACAGGCAGATAGATAGATATTGAACTGACATAGAAACATAGGTAGACATACACAAATAGGCAGACAGACAGACAGACAAACAGATAGACAGATAGATATATAAATAGATAGATAGATAGATAGATAGATATTGAACTGACATCGAAACAGACACAAATAGGCAGACAGACAAACAGAGATAGACATAGATTGATATAAATAGATAGATAGACAGATAGAAGAAGATAGATAGATAGATAGATAGATAGATAGATAGATAGATAGATAGACATTGAACTGACGTAGATAGATACATAGACATACACAAATAGACAGTCAAACAGACAGACAGACAGACAGATAGATAGATAGATAGATAGATATTGATGAGATCGAAATATTAGGCAGACATCAAAACATAGGACAGACAAACATAGACAGATAATAGATAAATAGGCAGACAGACAGACAAACATAGATTGATACAGATACAAATAGATAGATAGATAGATAGATAGATAAATGAACTGACGTAGATAGATACATAGAGACAGATAGTCAAACAGACAGACAGATAGATAGATAGATAGATAGATAGATAGATAGATAGATAGATATTGAACTGACATCGAAACATAGGCAGACATACACAAATAGGCAGACAGACAGACAGACAAAGAATAGACAGATAGATATATAGATAGATAGATAGACAGACTGACATATTCAAATAGATAAATAGATAGATAGATAGATAGATAGACATTGAACTGACGTAGATAGATACATAGACATACACAAATAGACAGATAGTCAAACAGACAGACAGACAGACAGATAGATAGATAGATAGATAGATAGATAGATAGATAGATATTGAACTGACATCGAAACATAGGCAGACATACACAAATAGGCAGACAGACAAACAGACAAACAGATAGACAGATAGATAGATAAATAGATAGATAGACAGACAGACAGACAAAGAACTGATATAGATTGATACATAGACAGGCATATTCAAATAGATAAATAGATAGATAGATAGATAGATAGATAGACATTGAACTGACGTAGATAGATACATAGACATACACAAATAGACAGATAGTCAAACAGACAGACAGACAGACAGATAGATAGATAGATAGATAGATAGATAGATAGATAGATAGATATTGAACTGACATCGAAACATAGGCAGACATACACAAATAGGCAGACAGACAAACAGACAAACAGATAGACAGATAGATAGATAAATAGATAGATAGACAGACAGACAGACAAAGAACTGATATAGATTGATACATAGACAGGCATATTCAAATAGATAAATAGATAGATAGATAGATAGATAGACATTGAACTGACGTAGATAGATACATAGACATACACAAATAGACAGATAGTCAAACAGACAGACAGACAGACAGATAGATAGATAGATAGATAGATAGATAGATAGATAGATATTGAACTGACATCGAAACATAGGCAGACATACACAAATAGGCAGACAGACAAACAGACAAACAGATAGACAGATAGATAGATAAATAGATAGATAGACAGACAGAAAGAACTGATAAAGAACTCAAATAGATAGATAGATAGATAGATAGATAGACATTGAACTGACGTAGATAGATACATAGACATACACAAATAGACAAAGTCAAACAGACAGACAGACAGATAGATAGATAGATTAGAACTGATAGATAGATAGATCGAAACATATAGACATACACAAATACAGACAGACAAACAGACAAACAGATAGACAGATAAAGTCAAACAGACAAAGAAGACAGACAGATAAATAGATAAATAGATAGATAGATAGATAGATAGATAGATAGATAGATATTGAACTGATAGATAGATAAACATAGGCAGACATACACAAATAGGCAGACAGACAGACAGACAAACAGATAGACAGATAGATAGATAAATAGATAGATAGACAGACAGACAGACAAAGAACTGACATAGATTGATACATAGACAGGCATATTCAAATAGATAAATAGATAGATAGATAGATAGATAGATAGATAGACATTGAACTGACGTAGATAGATACATAGACATACACAAATAGACAGATAGTCAAACAGACAGACAGACAGAGAGACAGACAGATAGATAGATAGATAGATAGATATTGAACTGACATAGATACATAGACAGACATACACACATAGATAGATAGATAGATAGACTTTGAACTGACATAGATAGATGCAAAACAGACATACACAAATAGACAGACAGATAGATAGATAGATTATGAATAGAGTACGAATAGATAGATAGATACAGATAGATAGTGAACCTACATATATAGATAAGTAGGTAGAGATAGATATATAATAACAGGCTGAGATAGATTATGAAAAGAGTGAGAATAGATAGATCGATAGATAGAGACACAGATAAATAATGAAATGACATATATATATATATAAATATATATATATATATATATAGAGAGAGAGAGATAGATAGATAGATAGATAGATAGATAGATAGATAGTTGGCGTCTCTGGTAACCCATTAGTCCATTGACTGACAGATCTTAAGCCATAGGTTTGTAAGCAAACTCCTTGCTCTATTGGTTTCGTGGAGCGTGATTTGTAATACCGCCTAAGTCCATTCGATGACCTGCACACTTTGTTGCACATATTCTAAATGAAATCTGCCTGGACAACATAGTGGTAGATTGTGTGGCGACGTGTGGGTGTAACCAAGACAGTCTTTGAAAGTCTATACACGCCCACATTCTGTAACGGTGAGAGTCTTTTCCCCTACGTCTTCACTTACATTCTCCATGTAGCGAACAGCCTTTTCCGCTCGATGCATATTCCATTTTGCCTTTCAGATAGTCGTTAATACCAGTCGCCAGCAATGTCTTCGAAGTGAACGTTTCAGACTTCCAAACTTCCAAATACCGGTGTCTACGTTAACATTTTTAATCGCGTATTTAAGGCCCTCTTTGTAGCGTGTGTGTGTGCCTTGAGCTCCGGGTTTTTACCTTCCACCCTTCGGTGCTTTTGTGGATACCAGTTTGTTCTTTAAGCGCACTAAGTGACCAGTCAATGCTAGTTTTCAAGTCGCAAGCATCGGTATCCTTTTCAGACTAGTAAGGGGACAAAGCCACTAGGACGCAAGGGGTTAATGGGAAAGAAAGAGAAGAAAACTTTAGTTAGGAGAAGAGGGACGAGGATGACTATTTACATTTTTGAAGATTGCATTTGGCAGAGTAGAAAAAATTGGAAGAAAGTTCCACAGACGGGAAGTGCTCGTAAAGAAAATAGTATCATAGAACATACGTTGAATCAAGCTAGTTCAACGGTAAAACTATGGGACCTAACCGCCAATCTAGTAGCGCGCTTGTGGTCGAAGCACCAAGGAGGAGAAATCGGATGGGAGTTCCACAAGAAATCGGAAGAAAGTTTCACAGGCGGGAAGTACTAGTAAAGAAAATATTAGCATAGAACATATGGTTGTATCAAGCTAGTTCAACAGTAGAACTATGAGACCTAACTGCCAATCTAGTAGTGCGCTTAAATTCATATGGTCGACGCATCAAACAGAACTCATTGCAACAATTGCGATGGAAATGTTTGTAGGAAAGACAGGGTGTCGACACCTCATATCGGTGAGAAAATAACTGAAGTCGAGATACCTGATCAGGATCGATTATATTACAGATCCTTCTTTGAATTTTGTTAAGAATTTCGATATAAACGGCAGGGGCAGTAGACCAGGTTATGGCAGCAATATTCAATACACGGATGAATGGTAAGACGATAAACTACATCTGACAGCAAAGCCTTTGATCAGGAGGTTTTGAAGAGCCTGGAACCACCTCTTAATTGCTGGTGTTCCCAGGTCTACCTTGACCCGGGGTGGTAGCACCTGAAAGGGTCCCAACTATGGGCAAATAGTTGACCCCCAAACTTGACTCAAAACACTGTGAAAATGTAAAAATAGGTTTTAATACCACCAATAAAACTTTTGAGAAAAATTATTACCAGCAATACAGTATTAGCAGCAATACATTTTTGAAGAAAATACATATTATCAGCAAAACATCTTTTAAGAAAAGAATATTACCAGCAATACATTTTTGCAGGAAATAAATATTATCAGCAAAACATTTTTTTTAAGAAAAAATATTAGCAGCAATACATTTTTGAAGAAAATAAATATTATCAGCAAAACATTTTTTTAAGAAAAAAATATTAGCAGCAATACATTTTTGCAGGAAATGAATATTATCAGCAAAACATTTTTTTAAGAAAAAATATTAGCAGCAATACATTTTTGCAGGAAATAAATATTATCAGCAAAACATTTTTTAAGAAAAAAATATTAGCAGCAATACATTTTTGCAGAAATAAATATTATCAGCAAAACATTTTTTAAGAAAAAATATTAGCAGCAATACATTTTTGCAGGAAATAAATATTATCAGCAAAATATTTTTTTTAAGAAAAAATATTAGCAGCAATAAAAGTCTTGTTAAATAACCAATTCAGGTTGATACGCCGTAAAACAAAACGAAATGAAACGAAACGAAACCAATCAACATTATATACCATTTCTCTTGGATATGAAAACAGAAGAGATCTGAATAGCTTTTTGTTTTTGCAAGAGTTCAAACTTGGTCATAATCCTTCTCAAACTGCTGCCAACATAAACAGAGCCTTGGGTTGAAAGTAATTCTATATCAATCTCCCTCGGTTCCTGCATAATCACCATAGTTAACCAAAAAAGAAAAAAATATTTCCAGCAATATATTTTTGAACAAAAATATTATCAACAGTAAAAATCTAGTCGGCATTAAATAATCCATTGAGGTTGATATGCCGTCAAACAAAAGAAGACAAATCAAACCAAATGGACGAATGGTAGATTTAAAAAGCGCAAGATGGATTCAGACGTGAAAGATTTTCTGCTATGACACAGTCAAGAAACTTTCCTGACAATTGATCCGCCACAATATAAAAGTCTCTTCGTGTCAGCGGAAAGATTATGCCCAAGAAGGCAGAAAGTGTTGTTCTCTTGGAGGTTAGCATCAGCCATGCTGATAGCCAGTTCTTTATGTTCATTAATTAGAAGCAGGTTTGGTTTAGAGGGGTTCAAATTTTCACGCCACATCTTGTCCACTGATTGGCGGTCCTTTTTCAAATTAATGAAAAAAAAAAACTGATAATTCCGTTATTATTTACTTTTTTCCGGATTATTCCAATAAAACATGACACAATGCACATCTTAGAAGTTCGTATATCCATTCCATGAAGTCTTTCCTTGCCAATTGAACACAGATTCTCGATTGGATTTAAATCAGGATATAGTATATCGTACTTTGATTTGCTCACTGGTAAGGCTTGATAGTGTGTTCCAGCTGCGTTACAATTTTAGCAGGCTTCCTTGGACAATGGTCGTAGGACAATTAATCGACAGTCGAGACATTAGTGTCTAGGCGGGATGAAATTCTGATGTAATCACGGATGATGAAATATTTTTCATGGCCAAATTCCATCATACATCCCGAAAATAGATTCGTATTACTGCACACTACCGACAATGACCTAATCTGATTTGGTTTGGTTTGGTTTGTTTTGTTTTGCATATCAACCTCAATGGGTTATTTAATGCCGACAAAATTTTTATTGCTGTCAATGTTTTTCTTCAAAAATCTATTTCTGGGAATATATTTCTTTGAGAAAATCTATAGCTGGTCACATTTTTTTTCCAAAGAATGTATAGCTTTTTTTTTTCTTTCAAATTTTATTGCCGGTAAAAATATTATTACAAAAGATTTCTGGAATTAAAACCTATTTTTACACAAGTTTGGGTGTTAACTATTTGCTCATCGCTGGGACCTTGATAGGTGCTACCACCCCGGGTCAGGGTGGACCTGGGAACACCAGCAATTAAGAGGTGGTTACACACTCCTCAAAAACCTCCTGATCAGAGGCCTTGCTGCTGGACGCAGTTTATCGTCTTACCCAGGACGCGGACGTAGTTTAACGTCTTACCCAGGATGTGGATGTAGTTTAACGTCATACCCAGGACGGTGACCTAATCTAAGGAAAAAATAGAAATTGATTCCACCCTGTCACTCCAGTGGGTCTAAAACTGTCCGTATGGTGCAAGAAAGGAAACTAAAGCGGTTGTTTCAATTAATTTACACAAAGGGTGTATATGCTTAATCCCCATGACATTTTCAGTCTCTGACGCAAGTATTTTGGACGGAAGCATTTCAGGTGATGTATATGCCTGTTATAGAGTGTGCAAATGAGATAACAGATGCTTGGTAAACACCGATCTTGCACTGATATCTGATTGCAGTTATTATCTGTTTACAAGCTTGCAATATGCATTACAAGCCTTTGGAAGTCTGTGATTTTCTCATCAAGAATGATGAATGAATAAATCTATCTATCTATCTATCTATCTATCTATCTATCTATCTATCTATCTATCTATCTATCTATTTCAGTCTGTTCATATCTATCTATCTATCTATCTATTTCAGTCTGTTCATATCTATCCATCTATCTATCTATCTATCTATTTCAGTCTGTTCATATCTATCTATCTATCTATCTATCTATCTATCTATCTATCTATTTCAGTCTGTTCATATCTATCTATCTATCTATTTCAGTCTGTTCATATATCTATCTATCTATCCTATCTATCTATCTATTTCAGTCTGTTCATATTCATATCTATATCTATCTATCTATCTATCTATCTATCTATCACAGTCTGTTCATATATCAGTCTATCTATATCTATCTATCTATTTATCTATCTATCTATTTCAGTCTGTTCATATTCATTCATCTATCTATCTATCTATCTATCTATCTATCTATCTATCTATCTTTTCAGTCTGTTCATATCTATCTATCTATCTATCTATCTATCTATCTATCTATTATCTAGTCTGTCTGTTTATCCATCTATCTATCTATCTATCTATCTATCTATCTATCTATCTATTTCAGTCTGTTCACATTCATCTCATTATCTATCTATTTCAGTCTGTTCATATCTATTTCCATCAGTCTATCTATCTATTTCAGTCTGTTCATATCTATTCATCTATCTATCTATCTATCTATCTATCTATCATTATCTATCACAGTTTCATATCTATCTATCTATCTATCTATCTATCTATCTATCTATCTATCTATTTCAGTCTGTTCATATCTATCTATCTATCTATCTATTTCAGTCTGTTCATATTCTATCTATCTATCTATTTCAGTCTGTTCATAGAGAAAAGGAGAAGATCTATCTATCTAGTAGAAAAAGATTTCAGTCTCTATTTAAGAAAAGAAGAATCAAAAGGGGAATCTATCTATCTATCACAGTCTGTTCATATCTATCTATCTATCTATCTCTCTATCTATCTGTCTATCTATCTATCTATGTTAGTTAATCTATCTATGTTAGTTAATCTATGTATCTATCTAAGAAGATGAAGAACACAAAGAAATATAGGAGAGAAAAAGAAGAAGAAGAAAAGAAGAAGAAGAAAAGATGATATTGATATATTGATAGATTTATGTTTGATAAATATGTGTTTGCTGAGAAGAAGAAGGAGGAGGAAAAATCGAGAAGAAGAATTAAAAAAAATCTGATATCAGTTGAACGCATTTTGATCCTTTACATCTGAAAGCATGTGTCTTATATCTTACGTGACCAGGGCGCCTCTTTCTTAATGAAGATAACGCATGGAAATTGAAGAAGAAGACAGAAAAAGAAGAAGAAGAAAAAGAAAGTCTAAGAAGAAATATTGAAGAAGAAGTTCGGTAGAAGAAGAAAAGAAGAAGAAAAAGAGAAGAAGAAGAAGAAAAAGAATCGAAGAAGAAGAAAGGGAAGAAGAAAAGAGCAGTAGAAAGGAAGAAGAAGAAGAAGAAGAAGAAGAAGAAGAAAAAGAATAAAAGAGAAGAAGAACCAAGAAAGAAACTGAATAAAGTGTTCGGAAAGGAGAATAAAAAGCAAAAGAAGAAGAAGTAAACATCGAAGAAGAAGAAGAAAAAGGGAAGAAGAAGAAGTCGTGATAAAAAGTCAGAGGAGAAGAAAAGAAGTGTGAACTTCACGATTTTTGAAGCATTACAAGAAGAATTAGAGAAAATCGAGAAGAAAATCGGAAGAGGAGAAGAAGGAAAAAGAAAAAAAAGAAAAGAGAACAGTATGTGGTTCTCCAGGAAGAAAAGAAAAAGAAGAAGAAAAAAAGAAGTTTTATAACCTCAGAGTCGTCCCTTTCCAATAGACTGGTTGCTATCCAAGAAAAGAAAGGGAGAAGAAGGGCTTTGAAGAAGGATTGAAAACATTTAGAAGAAGAAGAAAAACACTAAGAGAACTGTCACAAGAAGAAGAAGAAGAAGAAGAAGAAGAAAGGGAGAAAGGGAAGAAAACGAAGGAAGTGATGAAGAAGAAGAAGAAGAAGAAATATTGCAGGCATTAATTTAAATTCTTCATAAATAAAGAAGAAGAAGAAGAAGAAATATTGAAGAAGAAGCATTAGAAGAAGAAGACAGAGGAGAAGAATCGAGAAGAAGAATCGGAAGAAAAAGAAAGGGAGAAGAAGTGAAAAGAGAAATAAAAGAGTAGAAAAGAAGAAGAAGAAGAAGAAGAAGAAGAAGAAGAAGAAGAAGAAGAAGAAGAAGAAGAAGAAGAAAAAGAAGAAGAAGTAGAAGAAGAAAAAGAAGAATGAAGAAGAAGAAGAAGAAAAAGAAGAAGAAGAAGAAGTAGAAGAAGAAGAAGAAGAAGAAAAGAAGAAATAAAAAGAGAAGAAGTATTGAAGAAGAAGAAAGAAGAAAAAGAGCAGATGAATAAATAAGGAAAAGAAAATGATAGGAAGATCAAATAAGAGAAGAATTTTAGGATGCAAAAGGCATTGTTTTTATTCACTATCTTTACGATCCTCAAAAGGTCCACATCATCAATGGAGAGTACAAGGCCAACTTTGGACCAGTATCGCAGCGATGATGACGTAATATCAGCAGTTGATGACTTTTTCGACATAAAGATGAACAGTCTCCTTTGAACATGCAGGTGTCAGTTTACCTGAAAAGAAACATTGCAGTTATTAATAAGAAGATTTGAAATTAATGGATGCGAGATTTCACAGCTCTAGCATCAACCCTTCATAGTCAGCCTATGAACTTTTCAGTCCACCCTCGTACCCGGAAAGAAACATTGCAGTTCGTGTAGTTCCCTATCCTTGTCTGTTATCTAGATATCTTATGTTCTATTAATATGACGGCCAATAATAAATCCTGGTAGGACTTGTAATTCTCTCAGAATTGCCTTACCGTTTAGGTTGAATAAGTTCGAACTACTACCACGATGACTGGATGTCTCCTCGGGGAGACCCGTGTCTTGAGAGACTATTGGACCTTAAAGTCACCCCTGACATACGATCCATCGCTAAAGATGCAGGAAAAATGTACCTGAATTTTTGTGCTATTCTCTACGAGATGAGGCCGAAAATGGATTTACTGTTGACATATTTAGACTGGAGCTGCACATTCTTCACTCTCCAGCCTTGATAGAGTCCAAAAGCGTCTCCGAGCACTTGTGGGTAGAAATTATTCTCTACCCCCATGTGATGTGACAATCCTCTTGCTGTTTTTATCGCTACTTCCATAGGAAGTGCTAGGGTGAACTACAGGTCAAACCTTTACGGCAACGACACGCCCAGCCACTTACATTCTGTCCGTATTCCATAGGTGAGAAGTAAGGTTCACTTGAGCAGCTTCTTCCCGCAGACCACTGCCCTATGGAATCAACTCCCTAGATGATGTTTCCCCGATCACTACGATCTCGACCTGTTCAAGTCCATAGTTAACCGTTATGTTCCCCTCCTATCCGCATAAACCTCCTCTTAATGTAACCCTCTACCTAGAATGGTCGCTGGCCTTGTATATTCCTTAGAACCTGCATAAATGGGATTAGGGCCTGTCTACTTCCCCGGACGAAACTTTGCCCTACGGCAAATCCTCGTCCGGATTCCTCTCCGCTCAAGGCAGAGAGTTCGACTGATGAACAATCTGGTCGACTGTTAATATTTAACAGCCACCCACAAGGGATGTATGTGGCACAAGGCCGAGTTTACCGTGGGTTCTCCAAGCCTGTAGGCTCGGCCAGAAATATTCCCTTAGAACCCGTATAAACGGGTTCAGGGTCTGTCTACCTCTCCAGACGAAACATTGCCCTGCGCCAAAGCCTCGTCCGAGTTCCTCTCCGCTCAAGGCAGAGAGTTCGACAGATGAACAATCTGGTCGACTGTTATATTTAACAGTCCCCGCACAAGGAATGTATGTGGCACAAGGCCGAATTTAACATTTAATATTCCCTTTGAACCCGCCTAGACGAGTTCAGGGACTGTCTACCTCCTCGGACGAAACTTTGCTCTGAGGCAGAGAGTTGAACAGCTGGACAGTCTGGTCGATTGTTCTCCTAGGCCTTCTCTCCTACTAATCTTATAGTAAGCGGAAGAGTCCAACATAGACTCTTTAGAGTGAAGCCACCACAACAATTATTTTTCCCTGATCACTACAATCTCGACCTGTTCAAGTCCATAGTTAACGGTTATCTTCCCCTCCTATCTGCATAAACTCACCTTAAAGTAACCCTCTACCTAGAATGGCCGCGGGCCTTGGACATGGTAGAAGTCACTGTAAAATTATACTTTAACACACTTGCTTTCTATTCTGTATTCTTAAAAAGATTGAATAAGTATTCAGTTCCATCAAGTCGGTAGTATAACGACTATCAGCGTGGAATTTAGAATCGACGAACCGAGTTCGAATCCCGCTCTCGCCTGTTACGTTCGCTTTTCTCAATAATGCGTGAATGTGCGAGTAGTTTAATGGTTAGCAAATCGGAATGAGGTCTCTGAAAATCGAAGTTCGAATTCAAGTCGGGTATCTTATATTCACATACGTTCAAATACCCTTGAGAAAGCTCTGAACTCCTCCCGCCAAAACCTTTCTATTTTGATTTATTTACTGAACTCATATGCTGTTAGTTTAGGTTCTGGATTATTAAATCTTTTTAATGTACATCTTCCCAAATATGTCACGGTTAGCAGTTTCAACAGTGAAATGTCTAAACTATCAGCGATATACAATTGTTTTCTCAGATCAATTATTAAAAAAGGCTTCGAGCGAACGAACCCTGTGTCTTGGAGAGGAATGGTCTTAATCGGATCTCGCAGACTGGTTCTAAAGAATCACACGCCAAGAGCTTTGTCAGAAAACATCACAGAAAGGCTTTCAACAGCAACTGAGTATTATTTTTTTTTTCTTTTTCCCCGGACGCCATCTTACTGTCGGTAAATGTCGGCTCGTCTCGTTTCTATTCGGCAAAAGGTATCGTTTACCATTGGCTCCCTTTAACAGAAGACAAAGAGAATTTATTAACAGAAGCTTCTCCTTGATAATTTCTTGGGGAATCAATCGCTGGTCATTTAATTCCCAATTATCAGTATTTTAATTAATTATTACTTCAGCAATTGATTACTGGTTGAGGGGAAAAGAACAACGAGAAAAAAAAAGAGAAAGGGAAGTGAGAGAGAGGGGGAGAGAGAGAAAGAGAGAGCGGAGGCAGAGAAAGAGAGAGATACAAAAAATATGGAAAACAGGGACTAGTGTATAAATATAAAGAAAAGCAGATTGAGTCATATTTACTATTTTGATAAACGATATTTTTAGTAGGCAGAACGCTAGAAAATTATATAAACGTTAATAATAACAGACTCTTAAGAAAAACATTTTTCGGACTGCAATACATTTATTTTCGTCTTAGAAATTACTTGAAAGTAAAACAAATATTCATGCCTGATGATGATAATATGATGATTATCGAAAGTACTAACTACGGAACATCTAATCCATTTTACAATTTTAAACATAAGGATCACGTCAGTTAACAAGTGGTTATTAAGTTAATGATTTATTAAATCTGCTAGTAAGGTGAATTCGTCATTAATTACATTAAATTCACTGATTAAGTCTTTGTATGATTATTTCTTTTATTATATATATATATATATATATATATATATATATATATATATATAAAATTGAAAAATATACTCTCAAGATGTGCTATATTTATGGGATAATGTGCTCAAAATCAGAGATGGAGCGTGTGAATATAAAAGTGAACATAGAAGTCAACACTTAGAGTCAACAGAAAGTTTCATGTTAGACGCAATCGTCAGGCCACCCGATTTACGGCCTGAGTAAACTTGTGAAAAATACTATTAAGAACTTGAGATAAAACGTAAATACTCGCCTTGACGATTGCGTCTAGCATGAAACAACCTGTCGCCTCTATATATATATATATATATATATATATATATATATATATATATAGCATAATGAGATGCCACGTATACTTTCTTAATATGTATATATAGAA